CAGCTAAAAAAACAGGAAACGGAGGCTACAATTCGCACAGGCTCTCCAAAATTGGACAAGATTGGAAAAAGGTTGCCTCGATTTCCCTAGAGATGGTTGTGTGTGAAAATCCCAGTAGATCAGCAGTTTTTGAGATACTCACCAACAACTATGCCACATTCAAAGACACTTAAATCCCCTTTCATCCCCATTCTGATGCTCAGTTTGAAATTCAGCAACTCGTCTTCACCACATCTAGATGCCTAAATGCGTTGAGTTGCTGCCGTGTGATTGGCTAATTAGCATTTTGGGTTACCAAGCAATTGAACAGGTGTACCTAATAAAATGGCCAGTGAGTGTAGATTTGTTTTTAGTTAGGCCTCTTAAACTGTTACAAGTTGGGAAGGAAGAACATAGTATACAGGAGTATATTTTTTGCATACGCAGGGAACAGCTGGACATATCAAGACATATTTAAAGTAGACTTTTAACCTCTGGTAATAAAATGTCCTGCAGCATTTAGCTATCAGTCTATCTACACTTGAAGTTTCCCCTTACTCCCGTACAAAGTTTCACAAATACGTGTTGATCCTGCCGGTGAAGTCCACCTAAATCAGCTTCCTGTGATGGGGTGACAATGCTAATGACTTGCCCCTGAATTCAAGCAGCATTTGGAGGGTGTCAACAGTTTAACAAAAGACAACTGGGCACGGTTGCCCAGCAAAAATGTTGTGTTTTGTCGGCCTACAACAGCTCCTCTGTCTGTTAGGAGGGCATTGCGGAATGGAGAAAAGACCCAGAGGATGGAATTAGGACACATTCATGCTGCTGATGACAGGTCTCGCAGTTATGCAGGAGCCAGGCCATCTGTCAGGAATGGACTCGCCAATGGTGGTGGGACTCACCTGCCTTGTGGGCTGCAGTACCAGGGCTGGCCAGCGGGTGCTCTCAGCAACCAGAAGCTCACTCCTGCAATCAGTCATCATCACCTGAGGCTGATTGCAGGAGGTGTATTTAAGGAATGGCCAGACCTGCAGTCAGTGCCTTGGTGTTTGTTTCCCATGTGCCCTGTTTCCTGTATCCTGTCTCCTGCCTGCTCCACTCTCCTGCTTGACTCTGACTCTGATAGAACTCCGCCTGCACTGACCCCGGCTATTCCTGACCATTCTTCTGCCTGCTCCCATTGTACCTTTCTGCCTGATTGTTCCTGACCCGGCCTGCCTGACCACTCCACCTCTCCAGCCCTGACTGCACCTGTACCTATTAGTTTAAGGTTTGTTTTGCACTATGTTTGTTTATTTTGTGCAGCTCATAATAAATATTATTATTATTTAATCATTTCTGAAGCCTGCTGTTTCCTGTGTCAGTCCACACATCTCTGGTCATACCCGGATCCCTGACACCATCTAACACAAAAATCCCAATGGCCAATTTCAGCAGCAATGGGATGCAAGGGGAAATATAGGAAGGCTTAGAACCTCCTAATGCAAAATGTCACTGGTGTTTTTACCTAGCCCAGCATTGTATGATAGAGATGACATAATGGACTTGTGTAGATGGGAAAATGCAACATGATTGCCGGTGCATTTCGCTTGCAATTGACATCAGTTCAAGATGATTCTAAATTCCAATGCTTTCACATGTGCATTTGTCCTCCTTCTGACCTTGCATTGATCTTCGTCTAGGCTGCATGAAGTTGCTTCAAGTTGTTTTTGACTTCCCATTGACTTGTAAGGAAATAAAAGCAGTTCTGATATTGGTAAAATGCTGTATATACCTACAGACCCTGCTTCTCCTAACTCTAAAGCAGTAATTAACCCAAAAGCAAACATTTATTATATTGCAGCTTACCAATTCTTAGATGTGATGGCTGTATTAGTTTTCTTTTTTAGGCTTTCTTGTTTTGCTAGTTTCATCTGGTGATCTGACCAGTAAGTCTGTTGTTTTTCAAAAGAACAAGTTCTCTTCCAGATGTACCAGTTTACATGGATGAGACAAACCATATACTACTGACAGACAGGGGTACTTACAGTAGTTAGCTTTTATTCATTTATGTATAGCCTCCTGTTCCACTATCCCCTCCCTCCTAGATTGTAAGCTCCAAGGAGCAGGGCCCTCGAACCCCTCGTGTATCGCATTGTATTGTTATTGTACTGTCTCATGTATTGTCTCCCATTGAAATGTACAGCGCTGAGCGAACTGATGGCGCTATATAAATACTGTATAATAATAATCCTCTATTATAAAAGGAAAAAAACGGTTTACTGTAATTGCTGATGGAGTGTTAGCGGAGTTTGGATTTAATTTTTTAGTCATTTCCATATAAAGCTGCAAGTCCCTCTAACACTACTCTCTCCCCCAGCCTGACAATGCTACTGTCCAAAGGTGTTTCCATTGTTCCTCCATCCAAAGTGGAGACAACCTAAGACAGGAAGTGTGTTATTTGCAGAATCACCAGGTGAAAATAAAGGGAAAAAAAGCCTAAAAAAGTAAAAAAAAAAAAAGCAGCCACCACACACTACAGTGCATCCAGAAAGTATTCACAGCGCTTAACTTTTCCCACATTTTGTTATGTTACAGCCTTATTCCAAAAGGGATTCATTTCATTTTTTTCCCTCAGCATTCTACAAGCAATACCCCATAATGACAACGTGAAAGAAGTTCATTTTGAAATCTTTGCAAATTATTTAAAAAAAAAAAAAACATGTACATAAGTATTCGCAGTCTTTGCCTTGACACTCAAAATTGAGCTCTGGTGCATCCTGTTCCCACTGATCATCCTTGAGATGTTTCCACAACTTGATTGATGTCCACCTATGGGAAATTCAGTTGATTGGACATGATTAGGAAAGGCATAATCCTGTCTATATAAGGTCCCACAGTTAACAGTGCATGTCAGAGCACAAACCAAGCCATGAAGTCCAAGAAATTGTTCATAGACCTCCGAGACAGGATTGTATCAAGGCACATATCTGGGGAAGGGTACAGAAACATTTCTGCAGCATTGAAGGTCCCAATGAGCACAGTGGCCTCCATCATCTGTAATGGAAGAAGTTTGGAACCACCAGGAATCTTCCAAGAGCAGGTCACTCGGCCAAAATGAGCAATCGAGGGAGAAAGGCCATAGCCAGGGAGGTAATCAAGCACCCAATGGTCACTCTGAAAGAGCTCCAACGTCTCTCTGTAGAGAGAGCAGAACCTTCCAGAAGAACAACCATCTCTGCAGCACTTCACCAATCAGGCCACTCCTCCGTAAATGGCAAATTGCAGCCCACCTGGAGGTTGCCAAAAGGCACCTGAGGGACTCTCAGACCATGAGAAACAAAACTCTCTGGCCTGATGAAACAAAGATTGAACTCTTTGGCCTGAATTCCAAGCATCATGTCTGGAGGAAACCAGGCACCGCTCACCACCTGGCCAATACCATCCCTACAGTGAAGCATGGTGGTGGCAGCATCATGCTGTGGGGATGTTTTCCAGAGGCAGGAACTGGGAGACTAGTCAGGATCAAAGGAAAGATGAATGCAGCAATGTACAGAGACATCCTTAATGAAAAACCTGTTCCAGAGCACTCTGGACCTTAGACTGGCGCGACGGTTCATCTTTCAGCAGGACAATGACCCTAAGCACACAGCCCACATAACAAAGGAGTTGCTATGGGCCAACTCTGTGAATGTCCTGGAGTGGCCCAGCCAGAGCCCAGACTTGAACCCAGTTGAAAATCTATGTAGAGATCTGAAAATGGCTGTGCACTGATGCTCCCCATCCAACCTGACGGAGCTTGAGAGGTACTGCAAAGAGGAATGGGAGAAATTGCCCCAAAATAGGTGTGTGCCAAGCTTGTAGCATCATACTCAAAACAACGTGAGGTCGTAATTAGTGCTAAAGGGGCTTTAACAAAGTACTGAGCAAAGACTCTGAATACTTATGTACATGTGTTTTTTTTTGTTTTTTATTTTTAATAAATTGCAAAGATTTCAAAATTAACTTCTTTCACATTGTTATTATGGGGTATTGTTTGCAGGATGCTGAGGGGAAAAATGAATTGAATCCATTTTGGAATAAGGCTGTAAAATAACAAAATGTGGCAAAAGTTAGGAGCTGGGAATACTTTCTGGATGCACTGTTAGAATCGATAAGCTGCAATATATTGCATTTCTGTTTTGAGGTGTAATACTACTTTACTACACTTGCCTACCGAGCACTTATACCCCCTTCCTGCCCAGGCCAATTTTCAGCTTTCAGCACTGTCCCACTTTGAATGACAATTGTGCGGTCATGCAAGATTGTACCCATAGGAAATTTTGTATCATTTTTTTCTCATAAATAGAGCTTTCGTTTGGTGATATTTAATTGTTGTTGGGTGTTTTACTTTTTGCGCTATAAACAAAAAAAGTGCTTCTTTGTTTCTATTATAACATTTTGCAAACAGGTAATTTTTCTTCTTCACTGATGTGTGTTGGTGAGGCAGCACTGATGGGCACTGATAAGCAGCACTGAAGGGCACTGATAGGCGGCACTGACAGGCAGCACTAATGAGGTGGCACGGATAGGCAGCACTGATAGGTGGCACTGACAGGCGGCACTGATGAAAGGTACTGATAGCCAGCACTGATAGACGGCATTGACTGGCGTCACTGCTGGGCACTGACTGGCGGCACGGCTGGGCATTGACTGGCGCAACTGCTGGGCACTGACTGGCACAACTGCTGGGCACTGACTGGTGGCACTGCTAGGCTGCACTGATGTGCACTGGTGGGTGGCACTGGTGGGCACAGGTGGGTGGCACTGCTGGGCACAGGTAGGTGGCACTGCTGGGAACAGGTAAGTGGCACAGGTGGGTGGCACTGCTAGGTATTGGTTGGTGGCACTGATAAGCACTGGTTTGTGGCACTGGTGGGCACAGGTGGGTGGCACTGCTGGGCACAGGTGGGCAGAACTGGTGGGTGGCACTGCTGGGCACCGATCATCAGGGCACTAATCATCAGTGCCCTGATGATCGGAGCCGATCCCTGCTCTGACAACTGCCGGTTCTCGGCAGTACTTTCCTCGCGCTCTGACAGCATGAGGAAAGTGCAGCCGAGAACCAGCAATTGCATTTCCCTGTAATCAGCGTGTCATTGGACATGGCTGATCACGTGGTAAAAGGCCGCTGTGATTGGCCTTTTACCACATCACGTGATCAGCTGTGTCCGTAGGACACACCGATCACGGAGATCACCGGGGGCGCGCAGGAGAGCGCGTTCTGGGAAGACGTCATATGACTTCCACCCAGAACCGTCATTCAGCTATCTGCGGTCGGAAATGAGTTAAAGCACACTGTTACGGGCCGTGCAAGGAAAATGTAATAAAAAAATTTGCTTGCACACTGTTGGATGATGGAAGTCAGCAGAATTTCCTCTCATTCATTAACCACTTGCCAACTGTGCTATAGCTGAATGACAGCTACAGCGCGGTTGTTCAGTTCTGGGAAGGCGTCATATGATGTCCTCCCAGAACGTGCCCTCTCACATGCCCCCAGCGGCGTGCATCCTGTGATCTCCATGATTGCTGTGTCCTGTGGACACAGCTGATCATGTGATGAGGTCCAATGACACAGCAGATCACTGAGTAAATACAGTTGCCAGTTATTGGCTGCACTTTCCTCATGCTGTCACAGCATGAGGAGAGTACTGCCGATAACCGGCAACTGTCATAGAGCATATTGGCAGTGATCATCAGTGCCCTGATGATCAGTGCCGCCCAGCAGTGCCTTCCACCAGTGCCCATCAGTGCCACCCATCAGTACCCAGAAGTGCCACCCAACAGTGCCATCAGTTAATGCTGCCCAGCAGTGGCAGCCAGCAGTGCCACCCAGCAGTGCCCAGCATTGCTGCTAGTCAGTACCATCAGCCAGTGCTGCCAGTCAGTGCTGTCAGTCAGTGCTGCCAGTCAGCGCTGACTATCAGTGTCGCCTATCAGTGCCCATGATTGCTGCATATCAGTACAGCATCATCAGTGCCTCCTTATCAATGCCCACCAGTGCCGCCTCATCAGTGCCTGCTCATCATTGCAGCCTATCAGTGCCCATCAGTGCTGCATGTCAGTGCAGCCTCATCAACACAAATCAGTGAAGAAGAAAAATTACCTGTTTGCAAAATGTTATAATAGAACAAAAAAAAAACATTTTTTCAAATTTGTTGCTCTTTTTTTGTTTATAGAGCAAAAATAAAACACCCAATGGTGATTAAATACCACCAAAAGAAAGGTCTATTTGTGAAAAATAAAAATTTCATATGGGTACAGTGTTGCATGCCCGCGCAATTGTCATTCAAAGTGTGACTGTACTGAAAGCTGAAAATTGGCCTGGGCAGAAAGGGGGTAAAAGTGCCCAGTAGGCAAGTGGTTAAGGCAGCTAATATGACCTGCAGGCAGTAATAAAGCTTTAAAATAGCTGTGGAGGTAGTGCCTAAGGGTTCAGTCCCTAGGGGTAGAATTATTCACAAGGCACCTGATTAGGTGTACCCAGGGGCGGACTGACCATTTGGGAACTCGGGCACTGCTTGAGGGCCCGGGGTCAGTAGGGGGCCCCATGATATGCCCTTGCTACCTTTTCATAGGCTTTTTTTGAGTGTGGGCGAAGACACAGGGGCCCCATGATCCCCTATTGCCCGGGGGCCCCATGAGTTGTTAGTCCACCCCTGGGTGTTCCTTCACTCATGACCCGTGGCGACTCCAGTAGGCAGTACAGCAAGGTCCGTATCCTGGCAGTGGCTCTGGCTCTCCACACTCAAGTCATAGCTCTGTACTGTCTGGTTTCCCCACACTCAGCAATGGGCTTCCAATGGCACAGTCGAAGTCTCTCTCTTTCTCTCTTTGGGATGACACCCCACAGGACAGTCCACTCACTATCTCTCTCTGCACTGCAGTAATCCCCTAGTCAAAATTTTGCCCGGACAAAATCCTGCTCTCCCGCCTCCATGAAACAGGACTTTGTGTGAATTGTAGTTCATAGCCCATAGCTGCCTATAGACAGTGCACTCCCCAGGACTACATAAACAAGATATACCTGTGCTCAAATACCAATAGCTTGTACATGCATTTATCTGTAAGGTGCTACAGGGGTGTAGCTACATATTAACCCTACAAATCCCTAGTGTTACTATACGGTGACACCCCTTCAGCACCTGATAGATAAATGCATGTACAAACTATTGGGATTTGAGCACAAGTATATCTTATTTCTGTTGCATAATGGGTCAGTAGCAGGGGCAGACTGACCATTCGGAAACTAGGGCACTGCCCGAGGGTCCGGGGTCAGTAGGGGGCCCCATGAGATGCCCCTGGTACCTTTTTCATAGGCTTTTTTGAGTTTAGGCAAGGACACAGGGGCCCCATGATCCCCTATTGCTCGGGGGGCCCATGAGTTGTCAGTCCGCCCCTGGTCAGTAGCCAGACCTAAACATAGTAGCTCTCCCCCACTTTGTGTCTGCTTGCCCCATGTTGGCATTGTGTCCACAGTGGCATTTGCATTGGCAGAGCAGAGTAGGACTGGCCATAGAGGGATTACTTTCATGCAGTTGGCCAGTTTAAACATGTATTGCAATATGTGTGAACCAAATATCCCTATTTTTATTGCAACATTTGCTGGAAAGGGTATTTAGCCGTGTGCAGAGGGTTCCTCCAGTATCCCCAGGACTACATGTCTCATCGTGCTCTTTTAGTCTCTCTTCATTGGTCCCTCCGTCATTTGCCAGGAGGGAGGGGGAGTGAGCAGGGAAATACACAGAGCACACAGTGGCACTTCTCCCCAGTGTGGAGGCTGTGGGGGAAGGGGGAGTATGCACATGCATAGTCCTATCAGCCCTTGCTGGGGGAAGGGGGGAGAAGGACAAGCATCTAGGCAGGTGCAGTATCTTTTCTCCACTGCAGGTGGCACTCAAACCGCAGTGGCATTGAAAAAGGGGGAGGAAGTCAGGAAAACAACACTCTATGGTTTCCTGGGTCACTGGGAAGCGATCTGGTTGGATAGCACTGTCCCATGTGACTCTGGTGGCTATCTTGGGTCAGGCAGAATCTATTTAAGACCCTGGATTTGGGGTGAATTTTGCAAGATTACAGTGTAGAGACAGGTTACCCATCCATCAGGGAAAGTGAATAGCGGCAGGGAGAGGTTCCCAACAAGTAGGGACAGGATAAGGACATGCTATCTTTTCTAGAAATCTTCCCCATTGGGCTCAGACTGGCCAGGCTGCATCCTGCCCTCAGAAACAGATGAAGTCGGTGCATCAGAACCTGCTCCAATCTGCATTATTGCACAGAACTGTGAGTGTTCCCAGCTGGTTGCCTTCCTGCTGGGCTGTTTGTATCTTTGAGCCATCCCTTCAATACAAGTTTTGTTAATTGTAACCGACTCTGTGTGTTCATTGCTGCTGCACCACACCGCACCCTCCTACCATTGGCTGCAGAGCCAGCAGAACACCCGGCTATACACAGTATGCAGGGCCGGTGCTAGATTATTTTACGCTCTAGGCAAGACCAACTACTTGCGCCCCCCCCAAAAACAAAAAAAAAATACATTTTTTAAAAACATTAGAAAATATTAAATCAACAAAACATGAAACTGCTAAATTTCTTTTAATTTGCAAAAATAAGTGCCATAAGATGCCACCAGCACCAATGTTAAAGACAAAATCAGTGTCACGGATGGACTGTATCTGTGGCTGTCAGTGGCAGGATGACAGTTGCAGTGAGTGGAGGTGGATGGATCCACACTCTGACAGATCCCAGGCTGGAATTCCCCAGGCAATGGGGGGAGATAAAATGCTGTGACAGCAGGCAGCCCAGCCCACACATGTGGGGAACACCTGGACTGAGCGATCCCACACAGTGACAGATCCGACACTAGAAGATCAGGCTGTGGGATAATGATGATGTCATTACTCACTGACACATTGCACATGTGATAGATTGCCGGCTGGCCGGGTCATACTCACACAGACACGAGACTTCAGAGTTAGGCATTACCTTCCTCCGCAGGTGCAGCTCCACCTCTGCTTATGAATGGGAAGAGAAGGGCTGGAACTCAAAAGTGATCATCAGCCACCAGCCGGCTTGCAATAAGGGACTGAGTCTGAGAGTAACACTGGAAGGAGCGGCAGCTCAGATGCTACACTGGCCCCAGACACCTGGCATCTTCCCCTGTCCTTTCTTTCTCCCCTCTGCCGACCGATTGTTATGGACCACCTGGTGTACTCTAGCAGTCCCCAGGACAGGATTCCCCAGGGCGCGGAGTCTAAGCCCCAGTCCGCTTGTTCACCAGAGCCCCTGATGGTGGGGATGGGCTTGGAGCGGACAGTGACCAGGTCGCGGCCCCTGAGTACACCCACCTGAGGTAGAGGAATCACCAGAGGTAATGACAGGTAGAGAGCCTGACGTGAAGAGGCAGACAGGTCTGGAGAGTAGCAGCTAATCCGTGTGGGTCGGATGGATGGCTGAGCAATAGCGTGGTCAAACGGGCCAGGTTGGTAACAGAGGGTCAGCGTGGTACAATGCAGCAGGCAGAAGAATAGTCAGGTCACTCGTCTGGGTCGGTACCAGTAGTTCAGATCAGGTAGGGATATCCAAAAGAGAGGTCAAACTTAGCCAGGGGTCAGAGCAGGAGAAGTCAGCAGAGGTCAGGTCCAGGCAGGTCAGCAACGAATCTCAAACAACGGGAACACAGGAACCAGATCAGACCATACGGCAACTTGTGTCTGTGCAGGGCTGATTTAAGTAGCCCGCCCTGCACCTGACAGGCGCAGCCTAGGTCCTAGTGCCTGCCCAGCACCGTCATAGGCGATGGGTGCGCCTGGGTCCTAGTGCCCTGATGCCTGCATGTCTTGACAGACACCTACGCATGTGCAGACCCATGCGTCGCGATGGTCCCTGACACCGATCCCCTCAGCTAAATTGATGTGGCAGCATCCCACACAGAGGGAGTGCCGGCCTGTGCTGTGCCCAGGTGCACCTAGGCAGGGGCGGACTGACCATTTGGAAACTCGGGCACTGCCCGAGGGCCCGGGGTCAGTAGGGCCCCATGAGATGCCCCTGGTACCTTTTTCATAGGCTTTTTTGAGTTTGGGCAAGGACACAGGGGCCCCATGATCCCCTATTGCCCGGGGCCCCATGAGTTGTCAGTCTGCCCCTGCCCCTAGGTGAAAGGGCACCCTAGGCATCTGCCTAGTTTTTCTAGTGGAAGCACTAGAACTGCCAGTATTTAGAGGAGAAGAAACTGTTGAATTTCTCCTACTAAATCCGGTGTTTGAGTCTGCCAACCATTTAAAATAATCTTAATAACTCAGTCTAACACTAACCGAACAAATGTTGATCTTAATTGTTCATAGGTGAATTTTGGCATTTTGCTGTATCATAAGATCAATTCAATTACAAAAGAGAGAAGGGGCTTTTGTTCTGTGATGCACAGCTTTTTCATTCCAATATTCGTTATTCCCTTCTTCATTTTCTTCAAGTGTCTGGATAATAGAATATTATTTGGATTTCGTCATTTGCTTTCAGCCACTCTTGTAACCTGCAAATTCTACATGCAACAATGTCCCTTTTTCTGCCCCCCATAAATTAACATTTCAAGCAAGGCACCTTCTCCCTTGAGACAAATATGAGGTCAAGTGTCTACACCTGACACAATCCTGTTACAACAATGAAAATTTATGAAGAACATATCATCCTGTAACTTCCCCAAATCAATGGCTTTAAAAAAAAAATGCTATTTTCCAGCTACGAAAGAAATAGATCACAATTGCATCACATTTCCCATAATGGCAAATCACACTTAATTTAACGGAGAACAGGTACCTACATTACTTGTTACCATAGTGACAAAAATATGTAATGTTCCGCAAAATGCTTTCAATTGCTTTGAACTATAAAACCCAAAACAGCCACCCTATGGTAGAAAGGTAGAAATAAGGG